GTATATACTTTATTATGATATAGTATTTAAATGTATGCCTGAGAAACACATAATATTGCCCCTTTAAAACTTTCAGCATTTATACCGTCAAATTTTTATTTAAAGCTGTACTTCTGTTCCTTGCTTCATCCACCATTATACACAAGATCTCCCAATTGACCCACAGTGCATTTTGGGATGGGGTGGGCTGAGAAGGATCYACTGGGTCTGCACCTCAAATTGGGGGAAAAGGAGGACATATTTGTGGGTCACAAACGGGGGCCTCTTCAGAGTGTCGCTGTGACATAATYAGCCTTCAAATTCAGCCTTTGAAGGATGCAKACCCTGGGTTTGGACACAGCTTATATCTACAACTTATTACCTTCTGGAGTTACCTAATTCAAGATGTGCACCAAAGCTAGTCAWCATTAAGGCTCCCACATGCTCGAGCGTACTGTATAAGGTCCATGAGCTGTGCAGACTCTGAATATATTGTCCGCGGATGTTTGAGACTTTATGCTCAAGCGCCTGACAACTTCTGTATTTTTTTCGCAGTTTCAGTCATGAAGTCAAGGACGAAGAGGAAGAGCTTGCATTTAAGGTTAAAATCAACAAATGAAAATAACTTACTTTACCCAGGGTCTGAGCTATTTACTCCCATGAATTTGTTGCTCTCTGAAAGGCCTTGTATTCCTTCATTGTATCATATAGTGTCTATGTTTTATAATGTCCTCTGTGAGACGCTCTTTCTCCATTTCATCCATAAATGATGCAGATTCTTAACTTTATCTGCTTGATGTCGCATCCAAAACAGTTCGAGGTGAACTCGCCGGACTCTGCGCGGACCTGTCTGGTGGGATGTCCGCTTCAAGTCCGCRTTGAGCTCCRTGAAGTACGCCCGAGTATGTAGGGGTCTTTAGTCAACACAAAACTGGAATCTACCTGAAGCTCTACCTGGGTCAGTTTTACAGATATTGAGCTATATTTTGATGTAGTAGAGCCTGAGGGTCACAGCATGGCATCGTGTGAGATAACTTTATATTCAGGGTTTGACCAAAACAACTCTGTCATTTCCCAACATAAGATGATCTTAGTTTAAAACTCTGGCGTGGAAGTCCTGTAGACTTTTAGTGGGTTAGAACAGTCGTGGACCAATGTGRGGAGTGTGACGCAACATTCAGCTGTCCAAGGAAAACGCTTTGGAATCTGGGTGGAAATATCAGAACAAGGCCAGAGACACACATGGAGGA